ATACTTTATAAGTTATTTTAATTAAATAATTATTTAAATAAAAATTAATTTATTTTTTAATACTAATTAATATTAAAAAATATAATAACTACATAGATTATAGCCCTAAAAACCTATAATTTATTTTAATATTAAAACGCGAAAATACAAAACTTTCCCCCTAAACAATTTGTTAATCTGGGTGAAAAGAGTTCGATTTTCTTTAAATAAAATTTCAAATTCAAGTCTTCTGAATAGAGAAATAAGTGCTAAGAGAGTTTCCCTTCATATGAGATCCAATGCAATTCGATTCTAAATTAATCAGAACCAATATTGTTACTAGATATAGAGATGTTAATAAAAAAAAATACACTTCCCCCAACCAAGCGCGCCCATAGCTTCACTAACCTTGATGGACGAATTCCAAAAGCAACAAGCCAAAGGCAACAAATAAATAATACAAGATTGAAAATCTGCCCACTTACATAGCCCGAGTGGATGATTTTCAGAAGGGTTCTTTTTTTTTTCGAACTGAAGTTAAAGATTTTCAGAAGGGTTCTTTGATTTTGGTAATGTACAACAAATAAATCCTCAGCTCGGTCATTGATGGAATGCGTATTCAATGAATACACATAAATACTAATCTCTATGGATAGGGATGGCAATTTGCGTCAATCCCATCATGGAGATGGGATGGAGAGGAATATTTCTCATTACGAGATGAGGACATGGGGCATTTTCTCTTCCCTGTAGGAATTCTCATCCTTGTGAAAAGTTAAAAAAATACGTAAATTAATTTTATTTTAAATTTATTTTAACCTTCAAATCAAAATCCAATTCAGTAAAATTTAAACTTAACCCAATTTTACTCAACTTAATTTTATCCAACCCATTATTAACCTTTTAATTATTTATATTAGATTGATCTTTATTTATGTTTAAATAATTTATATTTAGATTTATATTTAAAGAATTTTAATTAATTATATTTGAATTTTTAAAATTTTATTTATTATAATTAAATATTAATTAATTATATGTAAAAAATTATTTTTTAATA